TTTTGCCGAGCCTCAGCTGGACCATCTGCCTTGCTTTCCATCAGGGAGGTCACAGTCCAACACGGAAAAGGCAGAGACGATGTGTGAGTGGGTTCTTTCCCTTGTTCTACTTAGGACAATCTGCAGAGAGCATGTTTATTTGCTGACTTGTTCATTGTCTGTCTCACCCACACCAGAATGTCAGACTGGATTCCCAGCAGCTGGCACCAGAAACCCAGCAGCTAGCGCAGAGCCAGGCGTCTGCTCAGGGAGTCTTGAATGAGGTTCAGCTGAATGAGTTCAGTGTGGAACCCACCGGAGAACACCTTTTCCCTTTGCTCAGGGTTGGAAGGGAATAGTTTTTAGTGCTTGAGGTCCTCAGCTTTTTTCTCACACCAAGTTTTGAAGCAAACTTGAGGGTTAATTAATTGCATGGCGTCGGGTCAGCTTCTTACTCTTCTTTGCCTTTGGAGCCACTTTCCTCAAGCTGAGGGGAGCCCAGGGACTGCAGGGGAGGGGGGGCAGGGTGGTCTTTTTGAGGCCACAGCAGGGGGCCTTCAAGTCACTCTCTTTCGGACCTCACCTGCCAAGCACCAAAGAATGGGGTTGTCAGGAGGTAAAGATAAAAGTAGGGCAGAAGGTTCAAGAGGAGGAAGCCTGAGTTTCTGGTCTTCTGGGCCCCACAACAGAAGGCCTGGGCCCAGCAGCGTCACATCTGCACCTCTGTCCTGGGGAAGACTTGGAGCCTTTCCACCCCCACTTCATGACTCCTGGTGCCTCCCCCTCCTCTCCTTCCCCCTCCCCCACCAACCCCACTTCCACCCCAATGCTGTAATAAAAAGTTCATGTTCAAAGCTTTACATGAGATCTGATTTTCAACACTTTAATTGGATTAATAGAAGCAGGGAGTGGAGAGCACCACAGCCCTTCTTCCCAGGCTGCTCCTCCAGCCCCCTTCTCCTCCCAACTCAGCTCTCTCCTCTCCTTTCTCCCTGCACTCCCTCACTCAGCCTCTCCTCTCCTTTCTCCCTGCTATTCTCCAGTCCATCTCTCCCCTCCCACCCTCCCTCCTGCCAGCAGCCTCCTCTCTGTTCCCAGCACTTTATGAGCACTACTAAAATTCTGTCTTCCCGAATTGAAGAAGAGCAGGCTAATTACTGAAAACCCTGATGAAAGGAATAGTTCTAAAGAAATTCTGTTTTCAGCCGGGCGCAGTGGCTCAGGCCTGTAATCCCAACACTTTGGGAGGCCAAGGCGGGTGGGTCACGAGGTCAGGAGAGCAAGACTGTCCTGGCCAACATGGTGAAACCCCATCTCTATTAAAAATACAAAATTAGCTGGGCGTGGTGGTGCACACCTACAGTCCCAGCTACTTGGGAGGCAGAGGTTGCTGTGAACCGAGATCATGCCACTGCACTCCTAGTGACAGAGCAAGTGTCTGTCTCAAAAAATAATAATAAAGAAATTCCATTTTCTTAGGCTCTGGAATACATACTACCTACTAAGAGAGGTACTGGGTGACAGCACTGAAAGCCTTTAAAAGATTCGAATCAAGTATAATTTATATATTGGTTATTAGTGGGCAAATGTTACCATTAAAGGCCTTCATTCTTGAGGTGACTGACGTTTCTCAGACATGTCTTGACACTCCTGCTCCATTTTTGTTTTACAGATATAGCTACACAGCTTGGGGAAAGTCACCCTCGAAGCTGTTCCCATGCTCCAAAGTCAATGCTTTGGGGCAGGGAGATACTGAATCCCTAATAATAACAATAAAATCCCATATCACTAAAAGCTCTGGACGAGCAGTCAGCTGAGTCCTTGTGCCTGCTCTGTGCCCAAGACTAACTCACATGGCTTATTTCTCTATCCTCACTTACTTCATCTACACAGTTAGAAGGTTACCTTAATCAGTGGGCTTCAACATCTTTTTATTGCCTGCCTCTAACAGCAAAAGGCTTTGAGCATTCACCCCTACTTTGTGTATATCTAGTTGCAGTGAACTACCAGGATGTATACAATACACACAATGTGTAGACAATTTAAAGGCTGAAATAAACATTGGCCGGGTGCGGTGGCTCACACTTGTCATTCTAGCACTTTGGGATGTCAAGGTGGAAGGATCGTTTAGCCCAGGAGTTCAAGACCAGCCTGGGCAACATAGCAAGATTCCATCTCTACAAAAAAAATTTTTTATTTACCCAGATGCAGTGGTGCTTGCCTGTAGTTCCAACCACTCAGGAGGCTGAGGGAGGAAAATTGCTTGAGCCCTGGCAGGTGAGGCTGCAGTGAGCTGTGATCACGCCACTGCACTCCAACCTGGGTGACAGAGCCAGATCTCATCTCAAAAAATAAAAAATCAACAAAAATAAAACAAACATGAAATAAATGATATTTTATGTTATCAATCATGGCAGTTTCAATGTATCACTCACTGATATTTCAAGGCAAAATATTTATTTAAAGCCAGACATCATTAAAGATTGTCGCTATAATTCACATATCAGGCCAAGCACGGTGGCTCACACCTATAAACCCAGCACTTTGGGAGGCCAAGGTGGGCGGATCACTTGAGGTCAGGAGTTTGAGACCAGCCTGACTAACATGATGAAACCCCGTCTCTACTAAAAATACAAAAATTAGCCAGGCATGGTTGTGCATGCCTGTATTCCCAGCCACTCAGTAGTCTGAGACAGGAGAATCGCTTGAACCCACATGGTAGAGGTTGCAATGAGCTGAGATTGTACCACTGCACTCCAGCCTGGGCAATAGAGTGAGACTCCAGCTCAAAAAATAAATAAATAAATTCATATGTCTAGTAAACTTCAAAATCACTTCAATTTGTCTGAGTCGCTGATTTCTTGACAGATCATTGTTGTACCTCACAATGTTAAAAAAGGAGAGTTCATATAAGAAATTGGAGGTGGTAACACAGCCATCGTTGTTGTTTTAATATTTTGCAGTTTTAATACTATCTACAAAACAATTTTTTGCTCTTAAAAGGAACTTTTTAGGTTGCCTATTTTGTGAGGCTGTGGCACGTGCTGTCTGATGAATGGACTGAGTTGAGGAATAAGAGCCACTCTGTGAATAAACATTAATAAGCATTTTTGTTTCTTGTTTTTAGGTAGATTACAAATAGAAATGGATTCTCACAATTCTTTTGCCACCATCCAGGATTGCTTTGGTGCCGCCCTTTAGTGACCATGGCTCTAGGATCCCCTTATCAATCATTCTTTGATTCCCCAATGTCTCTATAGCTGGAATCTTTCTGGGCTCCTGCTGCTCAGCACTCCCAACTTGTGAACTAAGCAAAGCCAGCGTAAGTAATGACTTGCACTGAGGCCTACAAACAGTGAAGGGCTGTGCATCTCGGGTGAGCAGCACTTAGTGCCCTGAGACGTAGCTAGGCCCCAGACTCCAGCCTCTCACAGTGTGCCAGAGCGTTCAGAGATCTCTTTCTCCACTGTTCTCTCTCTACACAACCCCTCTCCATCCTTAATTGGTCCCTCCCTTCTCCAAAGCATGCGTCCCCTTCCCTTTCCTTACTAGGAACCCAGTCTTTGCCTGGCCAACCCTTATTCTCCTGCCTGGAGAAATAAGAAGAAAAGCTCCTTTTGGTGTGCATAGGAGTGTTCACATAGCTGAGACCACACTGGACCTGGTCACAAAGCAACCACAGGGCAAAGCCAGAATTTGAAGCTGAAGTCTGGATGATTCCAAATCTCATACTGTTTCCAACTCTCCAAAGGCAGGGAATAAGTATGGTTTGTATGTGTATCATGTGTTTGCATACGTGCACATCCATATATCCAGTCATACAATATCATTGCATACAGGGCACTTGAGTAGATAAACAACTGTAATAGGGTAAGGCTGATGGCCCCAGCAAAGTCCTAGGTCCAAACATAGGCAGACAAGTTGAGAGCCCCAGAGCAGGCAGTCTCTTTGCCAACACCTAACACCAGCTCTTGGTGGCTAGAAAGAGAATGAGGGTGTGCCCACTGACAACACCCTATCAACACCGAAAGAAAGACTCAGATTTGTCTGCCTGTGACTCATCTGTTTGTCCTCTTTGAAGGGATGATATTTACTCTGGTTTTAGACAGAAACCTATTCTGGTTTGAAAAGAAATCAGATTCCTTATCAAGGTGATAATGACCCAAATACCATTTGGGGACCTTCTGCACCAGCTGTCCAAGCTCAAGGGAATAAACTCGATGAGGAATTTGTGGTCCTTCTGTATCTACAAGACTATGTGATGGGCAACCAAGTGCAGGCTTCAAAAGTAAGAGAGCAGAGGAATAAAAGCAGTAAAACAGGGCTTAGCTCTCCCCTCCCTAAGTGTGATTAGTTGGGGAGTTTATTTCAAAATAAAAGTATGCATTTGCCTCATGGCATTGCCAAGCCTTAGATCAGCCCCAGTTAAGGGTTGGGAAGGGGGTCTCAGCCTCAAGATCATGAGGATGACAATGACCACAACAGCGATGGAATCCACTTTTTGATGTATATATACTTTGTGTCAAAAATCGCCATAAACACTTTTCAAACGTTATCTCAATTCACTCAGGAGTCCAATGAGGTAACAATCATTGTTACCTTCAGATGAGGAAACCGCAGTTCAGATGTGCTCAGTAATTATCCGCAGTTCCCCCTGCTGTGGGAGGGTACAGCCAAGAATATCTGGCTCCAAAGGCCCTGACCTTATCTCCTTAACTTCTCTCCTCGGAAAGGAGAGAAAGGTGACTCTTTTACAACGTGTTTATTATGGAGTAACTTGACCTGACAAATTTTTAGGTGCAGGTATTCTCTCCCTGTTAGGTGACAAGAAAGTTTTAGGTACAAGTATTCTCTTCCTGTTAGGTGATGAGAATGGGTTCCATCCCAGAACCTGTTCATTCAATAAATACTAATTGAGCATCTGCTATGTGTCAGGCACTGTTCTAAGTGCTGTGGATACAACAATGAACAAACAAGTTCCTGTTCTCATACACTCACAATGTTATAAGGAAGAGAGGTAACAAATCAACTCGTACGTCATAGGTCAGGGGGTGACATGTACCATAAGGAAAACTAAAGCAGGGTAGGGAGCTAGAGATGGGAGGGGAGGTTGCTATTTTGGATAGGGTGCTCAAGGAAGCCCACTCTGATGAGGTGGTATTCTAGCAGAGACCTAAAGGAGTAAGGGACATGCAACCATCTGGGAGAAGAACCAGGCAGAGGCAAATACAAGAGGCAAATACAAGGCAGTAAGCCTGAGCGCCAGCTTGGAAGCCAGACTTGCTCAGGCTTTCAGGGTCTCAAGCCTGCTTCTCCCTTTGCTAATTTGCAGGACTGTATTGTCCAGATTTTGCCATGAGGAAATCAGAATCTTCGATTCTGAAAGTTATTTTCCTCACTGGTTTCACAGAGAAAGGAAAAGGAAGTCACTTTTCTTGTGTTTACTGAACTGAGAGTATTTGTCCTTATGATGCTCTGAAAAGTCGGTATGTTAAAGTTGCAGTCTATGTGCCTCAAAGTCTATGCTCTTTCCACCACACCATGTGGGAGGGAACCATCTGATTTCACATTGAGGTAATTCCTTCCTTTTTTAAGAGCTCAGAGCACCTGGACACTAGAACCTGGAGTCCTCAGCCATCTCCCCATCAGACATTGGATGGGAGCTTCCCGTGTGCCCAGCTCATGTTGGGTACTGAGGGAATAGTGATAGCAAAGCAGGCACAGCTCTTCCTCCCAAGGTTGGCTCTGCCCACTCAGCAGGGCCAGTGGTGGGGCAGCTTCCAAGGCCTGTTTCATGCGCTCTCATTCCTCCTCCAGCCCCAGGCCAGGACCCAGAGGAATTCCTCCAGGCTCAGCTTTGGCAGAGGGAAAATGAATCCTGAGTCTCTGGTCCTCAGCACACATGGAGCTGTCAGCTGGGGTTCAGAGTCTGCTACCTGCCCCCTGCCATCTTCCACTCCGCAAAGTCCTCCAGCCAACAGGGGGCTGGTTTTCAAGCTGAACACTCCAGGTCTTGCCCATTGACTGAGATAGAGTGAATGAGGTAACTAAGTTCTTGCTACTTCCCAAGGAATGAAATTCAAGACACTCTCTAAGGTGGCCAGGAATCTAAGATGGGTTTGGGGATTCAGGCAAAGGTCTAGCCAGTTCTTTGATCCAAACAATATGCCTGACCAGAAGCCCACCCCACAGCCTGCCTCCAGAGGAAGTTAAACTCCATCGAGTGTTGCCAGGAAGCCAGCTCCAGTTCCCCCATAGTGGGGCATGACTTCCAAACCCAGTGGGTCAACAGATCCAGGGACAGCCAACAGATGAGACATAAGTCTGAAGGTCATCAACGCTTATTCTGAAACTGGCCTATCAGCCCACCACTTCCCCCCATTCTGGAAAACTAAGCAGGGTGGTTGGAAGTCAGACACGGAGGGATGGCAAAGGGGAGGAGTGGAAAATTGCAGCTGAAACCCACTTCCCCCAACCTTAAAGCTTCTCCTTCAGTGTCAACAAATATGCAACCAATTAATGTAATTGCAGAGTTATTTATGGTGCCCAGCAAAGTGCAGCTGGATCCTAAAAGACAAAGTTGGAAGGAGAGAAAAAAACTCTTTCTTGGCTTTTGCTGTGTGGTTTTGCTGGTCGGGGAGGGGGAGGGGAGGGGCTCCTTTTCTTTCAGATGTTTCAGTCAACTTGTGGTATCCATGTGTCTGGTGGTCATGGCCCCTTCCAGGCAGTTTGCAGGTGTTCCTGCCTGGGCAGGGAGAAAAAAAGGGGGCAGCTAGAGGAAAAAAGCTAAAGGTCTTCTGATTTCAAACTGTGATCTGACATGGAAGACTTTTTCAAGGTTCCCCACTCTGACTGCACCCCTGTCTTAATCCTCTGGCACTGACCCCTTCCATAACAACCACCACCAAAAATTGCACAGGAGACCCTTTTCTCATAGCTGTTATGTGATTGTCTGGGATGACAGCTGTGTTGCCACTCAGCGCCCTGCTCAAGACAGGTTTTAATTAGAGTTATTGAGGGGTTTGAATTGGCACAATTAGGGCCAGCATTAATGGGGTTTCCATGTGTTCTTTTGAACAGTTTGGCCCTATTTTTTGTCCCAGGGCAGGAAGGGGTTGCAGCTAATGAATTTGGAGAGTGCAGATTATCTCAGCAAAAGGAGGGCAAACGTAAACCACCCAGGGGAAGGGGAGACACTCAAAGGGAGGAAATTAAAAGAAAGCAGTTACACGTGGTGGAAGCACAAACAGATTCACACACATGCTTATTTCCATGTCTTCCTTTTTCAAAATGGTCCTTTTCGAAGGAAGTTGTGGCTACCAAATATGTATCATTGGCTAAGAGGGGAAGCAGGAAAGATATGTATGCTACACCAAACTAAACTGAGGCTGTGTGCATGCACGTATGTTTCTAAGCTTACCCCCCAAAAGCTTATGGGCATATTAAAGGAAGAGAGAGATGAGACGAACTTCAGTTACCAAAAGTCCTACTCCCTCATCCTCTGAGATGCTGACTGCCTTTTACTGTCCCAATTTCCTGTTTCCTTTCTTTCCAGATGTCTGTTCCTCTCTTTGAGCTCCTCAAGCCCTTATCCTCTGTCTTCTCTTGAGAGGGCTCAATTTTAAAAGATAAGCCCCATCCCCAAGTCTCTGAGCCCTCCACCTATGAGCATGTTTAATAAACCTCAGTCCAGGACAGTGCTGGGGACAGGCCTGAAGTCCAGTAGGCCCTGATGCCGCTAACTTCCCTGTAGGCCCGACACGCTTCCAAGATGTACCTTAGGTAAAAGTCATTGCCAGTAAAAAGTCACCTGGGGAGGAAGAAGGCCAGAATTAGAAAAACAAATACAATGGAGCCCAGTTATAAATCAACTCTGTCTAAGTGAGGAGGAGGCAGCTGAACTGAAACGGGCCTCTGTTCAGTGTGGCCCCAGAGCCTAGGGCTGGCTTTTGGGTGGCCTCTGAACTTTGGGGACTGGGGAGTGGAACCATTCCATAAGCCAAAGCAGTAGCAGGCCTCAGTATGCTGCAGAGGTAGAAGCAGGATTGTGCACAAGTTGCAGCCAAAAATGAGGATCAGGTGAAGCCCCTCCCCTGCATTTCGGGCCAGTGGTGGGCCAGCTGCCTGCAACAAAGTCCTCTCCCTACTCATTTCTAGATGAGGCTCCTGCTCCGTTTTTGCACAGGTGACATCCCCTTCCTTCACCAGCTGCTTTCCCCGATATTTTAGCTCTTCCAGGGGCCAAGGCTACTCTTGCTATCTGGCAAATGAATGGATGGGGGTGGGGGGGCAGGGTTTCAGCTCACCTCTGTGGGACAGTCTTGGCAGAGAGAAACGGGAAGCACAGTTGAAGGAACTAGGACCACTTCCAACCCAATGAGGCCCAAGATATGTAGACAGACAGACACCCAATTTAAAATGTCTCAAGCGCTCCACAGACCTTCGGGTGCTGGTACACAGAGGTCAACCTTGTCTGATGCAGCCAACTCTTCTCCTGCCACCACCCTCATGAACCACATGTGGCTGAACTTTAAGAATCCCACGTGGCCAGTCAATTGGTTTTCCCAAAAGATGAAATTCCTGAACCTAGCGAAGATAAGCATGCCAGCTCATGTAGCATGACAGGGTTGCTTTAAAACAGTGGTTCCAACAGAGGGCAAATTGCTCCCCAGGGGACGTTTGGCAATCTCTGGCCACATTTTTGGTGATGCCATCTGGAGGATAGCACCACAAGCTACAAACATCCCACAAGGCACAGGACAGGCCCCACAACAAAGAATTATCCAGGCTAAAATGTCAATAGTGCGAAGGTTTCAAAACGCTGCTTTAAATTTAAACAGACCTGGACTCAAATTCCAGCTCTACCACTTCCTAGCTGTGTGATTTTAGTGGGCTAGTAATCTAAGTCCTGGTCTCCACAGCTGTAAACCCGGGATGGTAAACCCCTCATTCATAGTTAAAGCAACTCACTGGAGGGGTCAAGAAATAGTAATCTTTCCTTTTTTTTTTTTTTTTTTTTAAATTAAAAGAATGTTCTGGGCTCTCTTTACTAGCATCAGTAAAAGGATGTGGCATTTGGGTAATCACTAATGAAGTCTTCCAGCCCTGAAATTGCCCTTTGCTCTTGTGGCTGTCACCTGTCTCCTCACACAGAAACTAGAAGGCTGCGCGCTGAGCCTTTTTTGGGAGAAGCCTCCAGGACACCTTCTATTCTAAGTCACCGCAGCCTCCGCGCCGCCTGCGGCCAGCTGCACTGTGGTCCCTGGCTGTGCCCCCAGAGACCCAGCCCTGGAGGGGCGGCAGCGGAGGGGCCGTCTGGTTTCCGGTGGAAGTGGGCTTGAGTTCGGCCTTTTCTTTTGAACCGTGCAGCAGCCAAACGTCAATTAGCCGAGCCCTGAAAAATGAGTGAGCTCTGCGCTCTCCCGGAGGAGGGCAGGGCGCTTCGGGCCGGCCTGGGGTTGCTGCCGCGTTCTCCCTATTGTGCCGCCAACAAGAGCGTTTTTTTTTTTTTTTTTTTTTTTTTTTTTTTTTTTTTTAACAAGAGCGTTTTATTGAAAAGAGCTGAGTGCATCTAATGCAGTTATCCATGTCCGCCCCATCGCGCCGTGGGCTGGGGGCGAGGCACGCAGCTGCAGCCGCCTCACACGCTCGCAACAAAGGAGCGCGCCGTGGAGAATTTGCTCCTCTTTGAACGGTTCATCTGGTTTCCATTTTTGAACGGTTCCCCAACCTTCCCTTCCACCCAACCCCCACCCCACCTTCACCCCCTCCTTTCTCCGCTTTGCTCTACCTGTGCCCTTTGGGGGAAGGTGCCCTTTGGGGGAAGGTGCCCCTTGGGGGACGGCGCCCCACGCCCCCCACACGGTCACCCCCTTACGTGTATTGGAAGCATAGGTGTCGCCCCTACACCCAGCAGAGCCCCACGTCCGAGCCCAGGGCCCGCTGGACAAACACACCTGGCTTCATAGCCAGCCTGAACCGCATTCCCAGGCCTGGGGCTCAGTTTCCCCATCGTTAAAGCGCCGTGGTTGCATGCCACCTGATTGCCTTTCAACTTCAGTGGTCTGTGAGTCAACGAACTGATTTGTAAAGCATGTGGCAAGTACATAATAGGATAATTGAGAACATTTTAACTGCCTTTAATTTTGCTGGAGATAACCACCATCAACTTTCTATTTTCTTCTAGTTGTTTTCTCTGTATAAGAAGTCATATGCAAAATTATTGTTGAATTAGAATTGGGTTATGTATACAGTTTTATCTCTTGCTTTTAGTTATATCTGGAGGCATTATCCTATGCTAAGAGTTTCTGAAAATATGCGATTCTTAATTTATCTGCCAAATATGCCATCATGGGCTCATACCATAATTAATTTAACTGGTTCCCCCACTGTTGGACATTCAGGTTGTTTTCCTGTTTGCTTGGATGGTGGTGGTGGTTTTTACCCCACTATTATAAATTACAAGGCCATTTTTAAAAGTAGAATCCTCAAGTGGCTTCCCAAGTTGACAGCTGGATCTAAACCCCTGCCCCACTATAAATCAAAGGCATAAGGGAAGCACTTCCACCTTTTCTGAGGGCTGGCATGAGGGGAAAGGTCATCACTGGCCTCCTCCTCCCCTGCCTGACACCTCCAGGCACCTGCAAATTGGAAATTCACATTTGAATCGTGGCCCCTGTAAATTATGGCCTTGGGCAAATTGTATAACCCTCAGTGCCCTCAGCTACACAATGAAGATACAATCACGCCGACCTCAGAAGGCTCGTGTGAGAACTAAATGAAACAAGATCTGCAATGTGCTGAGCATGTGAGGACACAACTGCCTGGCTGTCCCCACTCGCTCACTGTGCGACCTTGGGCAAGTTTCCTAGTCCCTCTGTGCCTCGGTTTCCCCACCTATACAATGAGGAGTTGTGAGGATTAAATGAAGTAATACATTCAAAGTACAAAAACCTGTGCCTGGCACATACTAAGAATTCAGTAAATTTAGCTATCATTACTGTGCACCTGCCTGCCCTGCTTGTGAAGAGTAAGGTCAGCTCCCCACTCCAACTAGTTTTCTCTTTAATCCCCACAACTAGTTCATTCCAAAACCTGTCAGCACAGGTTCTCCTTCCAACCTCAGATCCAGCTCCACTGGAGGAGTCCTAAGCCCCAGAAAGCAGGATCCCAGATGAGACACTGACCTCGAGCAAAAAGCCCAGGCCCCAAAGAGATCCTCAGAGAGCACCCTAAGCCCCCTCCATACCCCCAGCCTCTGCTTCTGGTATTGGCAGTCTCCCTGGCTCAGAGAAAGGGACTGGGTGGGAGTGAGGGGGCTGCCTTGTCATGGGTTTTGATCTCCTCTCTCAGGACTTTCTGTTCATGTGTCCAAATAAGAATAGCATCAATAGCAACGGCCACCATTGATTGAGCCCCAGATGTCAGACCCTGCAAAGTATTATGATGGCATCTGTGAATTACCAACCCATTGTACAACAGAGGATGGAGACGGACCTCAGAACGATCAAACAACTTTCCCAAAACAGTGGAGCAGAGATTTGACCTCATGAGAGTCTGACCACAAACAAAGTCCTGTTCTTCCCAGGACACTACATGGCTCAGGTTCCTTTATCACTGAAATTGAAGTTGCAGAGTCACCTTTCCTGGTGTGTACGCCTTGAGAAACCTAAAAATGAGAGGGCGTTTGGGGTAACATTGCCAGTTAACTTTGAATTTCAGATAAACGACAAATAATTTTTTAGTGTACGTATATCCCCATGCAATATTTGAGACATCCTTATAATAAAAATTTTCATTAGTTATCTGAAATTCAGAGTTAACTGGGTGTCCTGTATCTTATCTGGCAACCCTAATTTAAAGGCTTCATTACTCCCCAGCAACCAGTTCAGCAGATCAGAGGTGCAGTCTTGGCTTCTGGGTTACATCACGATGACGTGATATTACCTAATCCCCTCCCATCTCTGCACCCCTGTCATAGCTCAGAGGTTAAGTGACTTGTCTAAGACTGGCCCTTGAATATACACTGGCCCAAGCCCCCAAGTCCCCTGATGCAGTGCCCAGCAAAGTGACCACCCCAGCCCCAGGGAGACCTGTGCTTTCCATTGTAAAATTCTCATTCAACTGCATTGACACAAGAAAAGTGTGGACAACATCTGAAAGTTTCAACAGATAATGCAACCTAAAGACTCTCAAGATTTGTTAAGAATCTTTTGGTTACACATGACAAAACCTTTGAACTAAACGAACTTAGACTAGAAAGAAATTGATAGCTCATGTCAACTGAAAAATCCAGATGACCACACTAATGAGGGTTTGTCAAAGGGACACAGGAGCCAACTGAAAGACCTCCCAATGCTCAAAGATGGAAGAAATTGACCAACAAAATAAAGCAGTATTGGATAATAACCCAAAGTATAAAATAAGTAGCCTGGAGTTCATACTTACATAAAATAAACAATTGAATAAATAAATGTGGGCGGAAGAGACAAATCTTCCATGCAGAGGAATTCCAAACAAGTTATGTAGATACTGCACCCTCAAGGGGAGGGAATGTAACTCCTACTCCTTAAGCATGGGCTGCACACAGTGACTTCCTTCCAAAAAGTACAGCATGGAGGCTGGGCACAGTGGCTCTGCCCATAATTCCAGCACTTTGGCAGGCCAAGGCAGGTGGATCACTTGGGGTCAGGAGTTTGAGACCAGCCTGACCAACACAGTGAAACCCCTCTCTACTAAAAATACAAAAAGAAAAAAAAAAAGGTACAGCATGGAAAGGATGGAAAAAGCCACAGAAAGAATCAGTTTATGGTGGAGAAACCTGACAGGCTCTGCCCTTGCCAGGTGACCAAGATCAACATCATGTGGAAAGAGGGACCCTTGATATGTCATGAGAGTGGCACTTTGTGGCCTTCCTCCAAAAACATATAAGAAACTGATCTGGCATCCTAGACAAGGACCAATGGAGCAGAAAACCCAGAGGGCTCCCCACAAAGAGCCCCACGACTAAAGCAGGAAGGGTTAGAAAAACCTCTGTTGTCATAAATAATATTTGGTCATGCTGGCTATGAGCCAGACACTCTCTGAGGCAAGTGCATCAATGAACCCATATGATCCCCACCACAGTGCCATGTTCTCGGTATTATTATCCCCATGTCACAGGTGAGGAGGCTGAGGCAGAGAGGGCTTAAGTAAATTTTCCCAAAGTCACACAACCAGCAAGTGATTGAGCTGGGATCTGATCCCAGGCTCTGGATCCAGAACTGTACTAGAAACCATTATTAAGAACCAGGAAAGTGACCCCAAAATACAGATAGTATTTCATATCCAGCTTCTCACCCCAGTTCTTTTGTTGTTTTTGTTGCTTTGTTTTTGAGACAGAGTCTCGCTCTGTCATCCAGGCTGGAGTGCAGTGGTGCAATCTCGGCTCACTGCAAACTCTGTCTCCTGGGTTCAAGTAATTCTCCTGCCTCAGCCTCCCCAGTAGCTGGAACTACAGGTTTGCACCACAACATCCAGCTAATTATTTTGTATTTTTAGTAGAGACAAGGTTTCACCATGTTGGCCAGGCTGGTCTCAACCTCCTGGCCTCAAGTGATCTGCTTGCCTCAACCTCTCAAAGTGCTGGGATTACAGGAGCGAGGCACCTCGACTTGCCTCACCCATTTTTAAATCTTAGGTTACCTTAACCTTCCTCTGATGGGAAAGTCACTTAAGTTTTTAACTTTACTTCAAGTGCCTAAACCTGCTGGGGCGGGGCGGGGGGGAATCTCTCTCTCTAAACAGAAAATAAAAACAAGCCAGCAGGAGAAACTGAACCTGGATCTGAGGAAAACAGATTCGAGGTAATGGGTTCAATTTGCATCCGCATGTTATTTTCTCTTGGCTTATGCATGAGATTTTCTAGTGCCAAGTTGATGTTTTCCTCTTCTGAGCCTGTCACCTGTTTGCATGGCCAATTCACACTGCCTGCTCCCCAGCTTAGGGCTAAGCCCCCAAGGGTGTGCAGGATGAGCTTGCCATTGCCAGGCGGGAGCACTCCCTGCAGGGATACACAGCCTGGCGCAGGGCTCTTGGCTGACAGCAGACGTGGAGACACAGCATCCTGACCCTCCTTCAGGAAATCTCCACAGGACTCTTTTTTTGGCTCTCACTTCTTCAGCCTTGGGTCCACAGTAATCATCAGAAAGAAAATCATTCCAAATCCAACTCATCATCCTCTCATTCCCCAGTGGGGAATGAACCTGCTCTTCCATCTGCATTCCCCACTGGGCACACAGACACTGCTGCCACCATCAAGTAGGTTGTTCAGACCAGAACCCTGTGCCCGCACACCCCGGAGCCACCCAGTCCTGAAGTCCTGCAAATCCATCTCCTTGATGGCTCTCAAACGTGCCTTCTCCTCCCCAGCTCCAATGCTGGTCCACAGGTCGGACTCTCCCCACCTGGTTTGTTGCAAC